CCCCAAAACCCCAAAACCCCAAAACCCCAAAACCCCAATGGGAAAGCTTCATAAAGAATTTATGACGTGTATAATTAAAAGAAATATTAGCCAAGATGATGATTCCGAAGAAGGAGGCAAAGAAGGAAGAGGAAGAACAAAAGCATCCCTCCATTGTATGCCCTAAGCCACTATACTCAGGTTTTCAGCCTTACAATTCTATCAAATCTGAGAGAAATGATCATTCTGAATCAGCAGTGATGTCTGATCCCAGTGTTGGATCATATAAAAATTCTTCCAAGAGAACTAGGAAAAGGTAGAGAATCTCTAGTACAATTTTTAATAGCACTTCTATTTAGCTAAAAAGCTATTCTTTATTTACCGCTTAAATTTTCCGATTAGCTAAGTTAATCAACCAAAATTTAGAAGAAGACTCTCTTGTGAAAAAGATCTTTCCCCAGAAACCTTCAGGAAAACCAGGAATAAGAGACTTGCAAAAGAATCTCGGATGAGAAAAGGCAACTACATCAAGACTCTTGAAAATAAGGTCGCGGAGCTAGAACATAAAATTGTCAGCCTCAACGAGAAATTAGAAAACTTTCAGAAAAAGATCTCCTACATTGAGATAGGGGATAAAAGAGGATACCATAATATTTCTGAAGCTCAAGATTATTGGCACAATCAACTCTCTGATGCACTCACTAACCCGAAGACTTCTCCTGATCACTTGAGAGATATAGTTGAATACTTCTTCAACACTCTTGGAGTAGCAGGTTCTGATAGAAAGAAGGTTATCAAGAATGCAATCAGAGTCATTATAGATAATTTGATCCCAGAGACCATTAAGGTAAGCCAACCAGATTTGGGAGCTCTAATATTACGTATGCAAGAATTCTCTATGACGTAGTGGGAGGTTGTCGTCTTTTAAAGAAGCCGTTAATGACTTTAGACTTTAATTTACTGTAATAAACAAGAAATCAAAGCAAATGACAAGCAATTAGAGTCCCTCAGAACAGCTTCAAAATACAAGTATGAAGAGATGATGATAAAGAATGGTTTTGGAATTGCTGAGGAATGACTGACCAAGGCTAACATCACCAAACAGCAGAGACCAATAATTAGAAAATTTTGCAAAAATCTGACCCAAGTGAGACACTTCTACCAAGATATCGTGGATTCTGCAATTATGTTGAGAAAGAAGATATTCATTGGCATGAATAAGTTTAGCAAGATCGCAGGAGAACTTCATGAACAATTAGGTATTTTAAATCAACATTTTTACTACTATCTCTGCTATAGATCTAACCTTTATGAGTCTAGATGTGAAACAGCTTGGACATTTCATCATGACTTCAAGACATATTAGGACCGCCCATCAGATCGACATATTCTCATGTTGGGGGATCCACAGGGTAAGTATCTTTGACATAACAATTTTGTCGACTATTTTCTTCTATAATTTCTTAATTTTTAATAAGATTCTTTTCAAGAATTATTATCTGCATCAAATTCATTTAATAGCTGCAGAACCTTTGCCTTGAGACCTATTCAGGTTATCTAATTTTTTCATATAGATGACAGAGGAAGGAGACCCAGGTATGTGAATAGCAACCGGTGGCATTTTTGCAATTATATATTCCTTCCTTTCTAATAAAGTCAAATTAGCAAGTTTTGAAGTGCATAAAATTAATTCTCATATAGAAGAGATGTCAGAATATGGACTTACTGACTACGATTCAGAGAGCGACAAATCTTAAAAAGTATCCTGGTTATTCATAAAGATTTAGATAATATTATTGGTGAGTTATGGCGATTTTGGGCTGAAAATCCTCTTGATATTTATGTTATTGACTTTTCAATATTATTTCACTTTTGAGGGGTTTTGGGGTTTTGGGGTTTTGGGG